TTCCCAATGAGTAGACAACAACTGCCATCCTGGCCCATGCTGGCTGAGGATAGTGGTAGTATTATGTAGTCAAGAGTATCTGTTCCAATATGTTTCAATTTCCTGAATCATTGCCCAGTAATCTCACTAACTAAGCAGGGTTGTCCATTAAACCAAGAAAAGTCTGACCTGTGAAGAAGATGTATGTTTTGCCCAGCTTGTCTTCTCCATCACGACACTCACTGTTATAGCACTGGAAAGACCAACAGCTATACTCTCCAGTATCTGCAGCAGTGGAGTTGATAACAATCAGCTGGCTGTGCCTCTCAAAGTGTTTGATTCTGAAAGAGAGAAAGGAAGAACAATGCTACACAATGTGTATGTATGTATGTGTGTATGTATGTATGTATGTATGTATTTTAGTTGTGTCAAAGAAATATTTTCTACTGTTATCTCCTGCTAGAAACAACATGTTTGCTCAATAAACACACCCATCACCCTATACAACACAAAATAATGACTGGCATGCATTTAATACAAATGATTGCTGTTCTGGACTTGTGCAAAACTATACTTTCTGTTCCAGAATTGTGTTCCTGCCAGTGGGGCATAAGTGCCATAGCACCCTGTAACTTGTGCTATTCACAGGCATTCTGGTACTCAGCAATTGATATTCAGAAGCATTCTGCCTCCGATACTTGAAATGATATCTAGCCATTCCAACGAGTGGAATGCCATGAATTTATTCAGTCACTTTTTAAGGCCTTCCAAATTGGCAGTCCTAACCACATCTTGTGGCAGTGAGTTTTTAGCTATGGATGAAGAAGTGATGGATTTCATTCAAACGAGATCAAAGGTTTCATTGGATGACCCAAAGATCTAGTATTATAAGAGAGGGGCTGATTTTAATTCCCTTGTTGAAATGGCTTTAATGGCTACTGTACGATTTGTAGGCGCAATTCACTGTGCTGCTTATAAAGTCCTAAACTGCTTGCATCCAGACCATCTGAAAGACTGTTATCTCCCCATATGAGCATGT